CTGAGGCTGGCTTTGAACTCATGATCCTCCTAACTCAGCCTCCTGAGCTGTTGGAATTACAGGTGTGCACCACTGCACCTGGCTCATCTTGATTTTCTATATAAAAATTCATAAATATAATTTTAGGACCTGATAATATGATAGGACTTTGCAAAATAATCATTTCAAAGATGTCAAAATCTGGGTTCTGTCTTGGTTTAATGGGTATAAATTACAAAAGAGATAACTATGGATTTAAAATGTTATTCACCTAGCCTTGGTTGCAGTACTGGCTGTGCCTGCTTGAGTCATGGGCACATTTTTCTGATTTCCACTAAAGCATCTTTCAGTTTTTTAAAAATTTGTTCTAATTAGTTATACATGACAGAGTCCATTTTGACACACCATGCATAAATGGAGTATAACTTCTCATTCGTCTGGTGTACATGATGTAGAGTTACATAGGTATGATTACATTAATATGCACCTAGGACAATAATGTCCAATTCATTCTACTATCATTCCTATCCCCCTCTGCCCCCTCCCCTCCCTTCTGTTTAGTCCAAAATACCATTATTCCCCCCCACATCCCTTATTATGAATTATCATCTGCATATCAGAAAAAACATTTGGCCTTTGGTTCTTTGGGATTGGCTTATTTTGCTTATCATAATATTCTCTAATTTCATCCATTTACCAGCAAATGCCATAATTTTATTCTTCTTTAAGGCTGAGTAATATTCCATTGTGTATATATCACAGTTAAAAGAAAGCATCTTTAGATGGTTATACTATTTATTAATTTTTCAGAAATCTATGGTTTCTGCCAGTTTCCATCTCATTCTCCAAACCCCAGAAGTTGACAGATTCTTAGGACTCAAGTGGCTTATGACTTGAATTCTGTGTGACTCCAAAAAATTTAACTCAACTTCTCTACACTTTAGTTTGTTGTATTGTAAAATGTATTAAATGTATTGTATTAAATAGTATTTATCCTTAATCACTTAATAAGTGGTGGCTGTATTACTCTATTTTAAAATAATTATCTAATTGTTTCTTTTCCCACTAGACTTGTAAACTTCTGGAGTACATCACTTTTTTATATTTGTATCTCCAATACCTACCAGAAAATCTAATAGACCATTGTGATTCACTGTTTGCTGAATTGAATAAAACATAAATGTCCAACCAAAAGGAAACAGATCTGTCTAGCAGTAGAAAACCAGAAAGGGGGGGAAAAAAAGGAAAAGGGGAAATGGAAAGACTTGTTGAGGGTATTGAAGGCAAGCTAAACGAACCATTTCTGGACCTTGGTCCTGCTCTCTTCTGTTTGGTCTCTAGCTGGGCCTAGAGCAGAGAGAACATTCCTTTAGTGTTTCTTTAATAGTATCAGCATTGTTAGATTCAGTTTTTGCGAAAAATTACCGTAGGTGCTAAGTTTTATTAATGTTAGCCACACTTTCTCTTGTGCTAGAGATGCTCAGAAGTGATGTGTAGTGTAAGGTTACATTATATGGGGATTATATTTGGGGTAGTTTTCAAATCCAGAGTCTAGTTTATGTTTTTGTTTTTGCACTGTGAATGGAACCCATGGGCACTCTATCACTGAGCTACATCCTCCGCAGTCTTTTTTTATTTTTAAAGACATTGTTTGTCCTGTGTTTTATTTCCAAGTCTTATGCATAATAGCACACTTATTTCCTTTGCTATTTTTATGAAGCCTTAAAAATGTAATGATGGTTATATATCCTGACTCTTTGCTACTAAGAAATTATATGTACCTCGTTTTTTTTTTTTTCTTTTCAACATAACACAGCCATTAGGGAGGACAGTGGGTATATGAGAATATATTTGAATTCTCCTATTGCTGCATTTGCCATCAAGAACCTAGACTCATTACTGTAATAAATTTGTGTGTATGGTGTGTATATAAAACTATGTACAGTTTTAAGTTTAAGCAGAATTTCCATTGGCCATCTCATTACAGTGCGCCTGTCTGCCAATCATATTTGATTATTTTTTTAAGTGTCTTATTCTGATGGAAATAGATCAAATGATATTCAAGGATAGTAACTATGAAGTAGTGCTTATAAAATATTTATGTAAAGACTTCCTTTCTTTTTATTTTACTACAAGGACGTTCTTTCAAGGTCTTCATTTTAAGTATTAAAAGAATATCTTTACCTGGGTGTGGTGATATGCCTGTAATTCCGGTGACTTGGGAGGCTAAGGTGGGAGGATCTCAGGTTCAAGGGCAGCCTTGGCAATTTAACCATACCTTGCATCAAAATGAAAAGGGCCAGAGATGTAGCTCATGGGTAGTGCCTCAGAGTTCAGTTCACTGTATGTATGTATGCACAAATAAATAAATAAGGTAGGAATGCCTTTACCTATGGCTTAGCAAAGGCTAACTATATTCTTTTGTTACACATAGTTTTCTAGAATACCAGGAGTTTCCTCTGTGTATAATAGGTTTTGCTTTAATATCTGATCCCATTTTAAAATGTCTTTATAAAGAAATGTATTTAGTGAACTTAATTATTTGACTAGGTAAAAGCATCAACATTTTATGTGAATCAAGTTAGAGTTTATATTTGTGAAAGAACTCTTTTTTTGTACTGGATATAGAACTTAAGGGCACTTTACCATAAAGCTGCATTCCCAGCCTTTTTATTTTTTAATTTGAAGCAGAGCCTTGCTAAACTGCTGAGGGCCTTGCTGAGCTCCTGAGGCTGGCCGAAAACTTATGATCTTTCTGCCTCTGCCTCCTGAGTTGCTGGGATTATAGGGATATACCACCTTGCCCAGCTGTGAAAAGGACTTTTGAAAACAGTAATGTTTTATTTAAGTATCTCTTATAAATTGTGGTGTATTTCCTGCCTATTTAGTGGATGATGCTGGCAAAATAGAACATGACGGTTCATCTGGAATGACTATGGATGCAGAGTCAGAAATTGATCCTTGTAAAGTGGATGGCACTTGTCCTGAAGTCATCAAGGTGTACATTTTTAAAGCTGACCCTGGAGAGGATGACTTAGGTAAGAGGAAACCTTAGCACATTATTCATCCTGACCAAATAATTCAACATGATTACTTGTGGATTAAAGTGACAGCATTTGAAATATTTTCTGAAGATAACTTTATTTTTTGTGTGTAGTACTGGGAATTGAACCCAGGGGTGCTCTACCACTGAGCTGCATAAATCCTCAGCTCTTTTTATTTTTTATTTTGAGACAGGGTCTTTGTTGAATTGCCTAGGCTGGCCTTGAGCTTGAGATCCTTCTGCCTCACCCTAAGGAGGATCTGGGATTACAGGCATGTGCCACCATGCCTAGCTGGAGATAACTTTTAAACAAGAATTCTAAAGTAGTGACAGCATATAAAAAGTAATTTTTCATAAGTATGTTAAAAGAGAGAAGAAGTGGAAATGAATTTTCAAATAAATTCTTGGAGTTGTCTTTTCCAATAGGTGGAACCGTAGACATTGTGGAGAGTGAGCCTGAGAATGATCATGGAGTTGAACTGCTTGATCAGAACAGCAGTATTCGTGTTCCCAGGGAAAAGATGGTTTATATGACTGTCAATGACTCTCAGCAAGAAGATGAAGATTTAAGTAAGTAGGTGGCCTTTTTGTGGGAGAAAATTTTACGTTTTTATAGCTCGAGCTCTCCCTCTCTCTGTTAAGGAAGGGAACAAGTAGCATCATTTTAGTTCTTATTATACTGCCATATTCTGAGAGAAGCATCAATGATTCTTTATGTTTAGAATGTTGCTTTAAAACCAAATTATGGTAAAAGCCAAGAAATGAATGACTGATTCAACAAGTGTTATATTGAGTGCTTACTATATGAAAGCTATGTTGTTTGGTATATAATACTTGGATCTTCTTTCCATTTATTACTGAATTCAGGTATAGGTATCTTTTCTGTGATCTCTGTAAACCTGGTCAGAAAAGTTTTTATAATTTTCTATTTAGATGTTGCTGAAATTGCTGATGAAGTTTATATGGAAGTGATCGTAGGAGAGGAGGATGCGGCAGCGGCAGCTGCTGCTGCTGCTGCTGTGCATGAACAGCAAATGGATGACAATGAAATCAAAACCTTCATGCCAATTGCATGGGCAGCAGCTTACGGTAAGTCACACAGCAGCCCAGAGGATTGGCTGAGTTGGTTCTTGAACTGCAAATTCGTGGTAGGAAAACAGTTTCTGTGGTTTTAGGTTTCTGAAATCTGAAATACCAGTTCCCTATCAGGATTATTTGACTTAAGCAAGAGTAGAGGAAGATTATAAAGTCAATTTTTTGTCTTTGTTTTTAACAGGAATTTCCTTACCGTGTATATTATGTAGAAGGAAGTACTGCAAGAAGTACACAGGCTTTTACGCTGATACTTTATCTTGATCACATCTGGCCCATGACTATAATTTTGGGAGAAAACCAGGGAGTTCGTGGGGAAACTGCTGACATGTGTTTTTAGCTTTGGAATTTAGCTAGGGATTTCCTAAGGTCTCACTATAGTAAATGTGCTCATAAAACCCATTACCTAGAATGAGGCATTTCTGTCATTCATGAGTATCATGGCTTACGTTTCATTGTCGTAATTAATAAAGAATTCCTAATTCTTTATAATTTATAATACTGTATAATTTTGTTTTCTAATGCGCATTGTTAGGTAATAATTCTGAAGGAATTGAAAACCGGAATGGCACTGCAAGTGCCCTCTTGCACATAGATGAGTCTGCTGGCCTCGGCAGACTGGCTAAGCAAAAACCAAAGAAAAGGAGAAGACCTGATTCCAGGCAGTACCAAACAGGTGAGGGCGCACGAGTTCCATGGCGCAGCGAGCTCTGAGCTCTCAGAGGAAACTCTAGAATGTATCCACAGGGGTGTCGTGATGGCATTTTAGCTGCTAGACTACGTGTAGTTTTCGTGTATTGAATTTGAAAATATAATTTTCAGAATTCAGTGATATTCATGAATGATTTTGTTGGATAAGAAGAAACGGGATTGATCAAACATGGATGAAAAAACTTAAAACTTGGATGATTTTTATGTGGAAATGAAAAGGAATTCCTCAAATATATTGCAAGCATTAACATTTTTAAAAAAATTAATATATTTAAAGAATCTAATTATATCAGCATAAAGCAGGCATAATTTACAGAGCAGCAGGCTAAGTACTTCAAAGCATATGACATTCTTGTCTATTCTTGTATAATGATTTGCATATTAAAAATTTTATGGTTATATTTAAGCTTTACTGTAAATTAGCATAAATTATGTTTTTTTAATAACCAAAGCAGGAATTTTGATTATAAAACTTTACTTTTATGAATAATTTTTCCAAGATTTCTGAATTGATATGGTTTTAATCGCTGGTTGATAGAGGTTACATATTTATTCATTAATTTTGTTAAACTGGAGGGAGTGAGGTTGGTACAGTTCTGCAGAGTGAAGTTTCCAGACCAGGTTCTCATTATATCTCTTACATTGAAAAATGATAAAAGGGATGTTAGTAGCAGATAGTGTAACAAGAGTGAGCCCATGGCCAATAGTGTTCAGAGCACATACTAAATATTTGAAGAAACCAAAACAGAACTTGGTTTGGTTCCTTATGATCTTTTCTTTTCCTTCCTTAGCAATAATTATTGGCCCTGATGGACATCCCTTGACTGTCTACCCTTGCATGATTTGTGGGAAGAAGTTTAAATCAAGAGGTTTTTTGAAAAGACACATGAAAAACCATCCTGAACACATTGCCAAGAAGAAGTATTGCTGTACTGACTGTGATTACACTACCAACAAAAAGATAAGTTTACATAATCACCTGGAAAGCCACAAATTGACCAACAAGGTAGAGAAAGTCATTGAGTGTGATGAGTGTGGAAAGCATTTCTCTCACACTGGGGCTTTGTTTACTCACAAAATGGTGCATAAGGAAAAAGGAAACAACAAAATACATAAGTGTAAATTCTGTGAATATGAGACAGCTGAACAAGGATTATTGAACCGTCATCTTTTGGCAGTCCACAGCAAGARYTTTCCTCATATTTGTGTRGARTGCGGTAAAGGTTTTCGKCAYCCATCAGAGCTCAAAAARCAYATGCGRATYCATACTGGSGAGAARCCRTACCAATGCCAGTAYTGYGAATATAGATCTGCAGACTCTTCTAACTTAAAAACGCACGTAAAAACTAAACATAGTAAAGAGATGCTGTTCAGGTGTGATATTTGTCTTCTGACTTTCTCAGATACCAAAGAGGTGCAGCAACATGCTCTTATCCACCAAGAAAGCAAAACACACCAGTGTTTGCATTGTGACCACAAGAGTTCGAACTCAAGTGATTTGAAGCGACACATAATTTCAGTTCACACGAAGGACTACCCCCATAAGTGTGACATGTGTGATAAAGGCTTTCACAGGCCTTCGGAACTCAAGAAACATGTGGCTGCCCACAAGGGTAAAAAAATGCACCAGTGTAGACATTGTGACTTTAAGATTGCAGATCCGTTTGTGCTAAGTCGCCATATTCTTTCGGTTCACACAAAGGACCTTCCATTTAGGTGTAAGAGGTGTAGAAAGGGATTTAGGCAACAGAATGAGCTTAAAAAGCATATGAAGACACACAGTGGCCGAAAAGTGTATCAGTGTGAGTACTGTGAGTATAGCACTACGGATGCCTCAGGCTTTAAACGGCATGTTATTTCCATTCATACAAAAGACTATCCTCATCGTTGTGAGTACTGCAAGAAAGGTTTCCGAAGACCTTCGGAAAAGAACCAGCACATAATGCGACATCACAAAGAAGTTGGCCTGCCCTAACGATACATCTACAGACGTTTGTAGAGATACTGGCCTTGAAGCAGGAAATTCATTTTAAAGCCAATCAGTCTTGTTCACTTACAATACTGTATATTGATTTATGCTGTGTACAAATAGAGTTATTGCTTCTAGTTGACTTTTTTTTTTAACATTTTGTTCAATAGCGTGTTCTGAATTCTATTCAGTTTGTTTAATAAATGGGGAAAAGTAGCAACAAGTTAGTTGCTTTTAATAAAGTAATCCCTGGTTCTATACTGAATTTTTCTATCTTAGAAGTTTTATATTTATTTAAATAATTACCTTGCCTACCTTGATGGTACTCTTCTAAGATCTTTTAACTTAAGGTAACTTTAGATTGGTAACTCTGAAAGTATTCATATTGACTCATTTTCTTTTTCCCCATAAATTTCTCACAATAAAATTGTCAGAGACATTGAATATGAATGGGAGATTTTACAGTCAAGTCTAATGATCACAACATGGAAGTGTTTACTTGTCTTGTTTAATATTTTCAGACCATATGACAAGGAAAGTTTCCTTTTGAGCTTTTGCGTCCCTGGCATAGCTGAGTTTAGAATAGTGGCTGGGTTTGTGTTTACTTTTCATTTTGTTTAGAAGACAAAATATATTTCTTTTTGGCTTTCTTTGGACTATTTACATCTTTTGTTAGCATAGCAAACTTTTAGAAAACTTTATTGAAAAATTTTGCTTGTTCCTGTTGTATTTTGATTATTCTGTCTGTGCTGCTTTGTCTTGGAATGGTTGTGTGCTACAAATGAAATTTACTGAGGACTGCATTTTGGAATCTCCTAGAGGTAACTTGCGGCTCATAGGATCTTTTGCAACTTTATATATGTAAATGTACCCTGAATTATATATATACATATATATATATAACATGTATCTGTGTGTATTGCTTATTTTACATATTTATACACACAACCCCAAGTAGTATTTGTTTAAAATCTATAATGAAAAGTATTAATTAAATTTACAATAACATGAAAGATCCAGGGATGCATGAGAGAGCATTTTGTAAGTCATGCTCTTCAGAGAGACTACTCAGGTGAAGAATTAGAAGGAAAATAAGGACACTAGTATTTTTAAAGAGTAAAGGTATTTTCTTTTAAATATCTTTGGTAATTGAAAAATAATTGAAAAAATAGAGGTTAAGATGTTTTTAGATAGAATGTTTTCATACAGTTTCAGCTCCATGCCTTTATATTTTTCTGAAAAGCTTATGAATATCCAGACGTGACTCCCTCAGTTCTCTCTGAGAAGCTGGAGAGAGAGCTCTGTCTCACCAAGTGAGGGGGGGCGGGGACAGAGAAGAAGTGATGGCTCCATGGACCAGAGAACGGGTGCTAATTATGACTTACACTTGGCAAGTTCAGCCTGCTTTGTTAGTTCTTAGACAGTTAAAGTTAGCAAACTTTTAAAAAACTTAACACTCAAGTTGGCTTAGGTTAGAAGATAGAGGTGTGTTCCAAGTACATAAGGAAAGTTTGAGGCCTTATTTGGAACTTCACCAAGTCTTTCAGTTTTTTTTTTTCTTTGAGAGTTGGCAGTTTTTAACATGTAGGTCTGAATCAGAGTCATAACGTTTATAAAATGAATTTGGTTAATTAGAATTTAGTTATGTTAAGATGACTCTTGGAGAACAGAAAACAGTTGGGGGGGGCTAGAATTGGCTGTTGGCACATGATCTGGCGCATCATGGGAGATTTAGAAATTTTCTTCCCACTTGATAGCTGCCTTGCTGCCTCATTATGGTGCTCCATCCCCTTTGTGCCGTTAGGTTTTTACCTTTCATCTTTCTCTTTGCCATCCATATTTGTATTCAAGAGTTATATTTTTAGGGTTAGGAATCTAAATATTTGGTGTTTGGCAAGCCCCTGAAGTGTGAGATTGATTTAGGCTAGTTCTAAATCAAGTGCTTTAGGCTCATGTGAACTCCAGCCTAAATGCCAGTCAAAGCTAAGGCATGGGTTCCCCTAGCCGGCTCCATAGGGAATGCCTATGCCCCTTTGGCCCCCACAGTATGTTTGTTGTTTTTTTTTTTTAAAGTAACTTACAATTCTGTCATTCATTGCCCTACTATTCTTGAAAGCTCTGTCTGTTTTTTTGTGAGAACCTTTAAAATCTCCCTTAATTTTTATTTTCCCCAGAAATAATGTAAAACACTTAAAATAGAAATTTATTAATTTTAAAACATCCTGTAAAATTATTACAGAAAATATAAATGATTGGATCATTTAACTATATTTTTTTAAATAAACTGAAAGATAAAGAACACAACACTTTACACACTTTATATTTCTCTTTACATAATCTGGATTCATACACATTTCTTTTCTTTTTAAAGCACAATATTGAAGCCTTTAAAAGGTATTTAAGGGTTTGGTCAAGTGAATATAAAATGTATTTGTCTGTATAAAGAGAAAATGAAATTGTAGTCACTGTTATGTACTGACATTAGTTACAACCTAGTTTTAATTCTTAAAACAATTTGATTAGCAAAGCTAAAAAAATGGATGTTTCAGTTAAATGTTTTAAAGAGGTACAGATTTTTACAAGGACATAATATAAGTTATTGTTCTGTAGAAATATCCTATTAAATATTGTATGTCCCTCCCTCTGTATACTTTGTAAAAAAAGTAAAATACATAAAAARGAAATCATATAGGGATGTGTGACATTATTGTAATTGTGTACTTGAGAATAACGTGCAAAAATAAAAATCAGAATATTTTCCTGTTAATGAATGTTTAGTCTATTTGATACCAGTACTAAGTTAATGCTTTTCTTAAGGAAAAAAAAAATGTACAGTTTTTGTAAACCTAATAAACATCAAAAGCAGTGGATTATTTTCATTCCCCCATTTCTTAATTCCCTTTTATGCAGCAATGGAATGCAAAATGCTTGATTGCTTTGAATTTTGTGAGTCGGATGCAAATACTGATAATATTTCAGTCCTGTGAATTTGCAAGTAATATTTCAGAGAAGTTAAGAGGTGATTGGTGAGTCCTTTGATGAGCATGTCCTTGAAATTCATTTTTTCTTTTATCTTTATAAAGGATTTGTTTTATTAGCATCTCCAGTTCCCCTGAGATAAATTACCCATGCATAAAGTGGGTTTTGAGAGCACTTAAAGTTCATTTCAGTATCAATCCACTGCACATTTAATCGTTGGGGACTGTTAACCACTCCACTACAGAAGCCCTGCCCTTGAGTTACCCCTCTGTGCCCAGTTTGGAAGGCTCTAGTAGATGTTGACATAGTACAGGATGGTCATTGTCATAGGAAAAATCAAAAGTTAGGTAAAAGTTCTCAGAAATCAAAGATTTGTGTCACCTTTGATTTTAAAGATGAGATTCTGCAGTTCTTCAACTGTAGGAGCAAAGTGTTGACCTAATAGATGAAACAGTAAACCACCAACACCAAAACTTGAGGTAAATGATGAAGAGAATGTGGTGACCATCACTGTCCAGAGCCATAAATCCAATAAAACCAGACCATGCTGTCAAAAACTTTGTTTTAATAGAGTGCCTGACAAATGGCATCTAACCCAACTGTGATCCTGACTAGTCAGGTAATATGCTGCTGTATTCTCTAGAGAATCTCAGTATTAGCAATTTCCTTTATTTCCCACAAATTCTTGGATTTATGTAGGGAGAAGCATAACCAGTCAAACCTTAAAAGGGGTTATCTTTCAGAGCAATGGCTACTAAAGTATGACTCAGCAGCATTGGCAGAATGGTTCACTTGGGACCTTGTTAAAGATGCAAATTCTCAGCCCCACCCCAGACCCCTTGGATTGGGAAACTGGGTGTGGGCCCAGTGATCTGTGTTATAACATGTTCCCTATGTGATTCTGTTGCATACTCAAGTTTGGAAAACACTATTTTAGAGCACTTGAGGAACTTAAAGGATCGCTGGCATAACATTTTGGGTGGTAGATGAGAAAATCACAAAAACAAAGCAACCAGAAATGAATGGTGAAGGTGAAATAGGACCCAGAGTTTCCTACTTTCAGTTTACCATTAAGGTATGAGGCTGCCAGTAAGTATATTCTTTAGTGCGCATGTAAATAGACAACATTTCCTAAATATTCTAAGCCCTTCCCCCAAAGTTTGCATTCTTCAAAGATAAATTGAATTCAGAGGAAAATTTGGCAAGTAAGAGAAAAAGGTTTTTAAAAGTTGTGTGTGTATGTGTGCGTGTGTATTTAGTTGGCCCAGGGTTACTTAAGTAATTCATATCCAAAATTCATTTTGCTGCATTCTGCAGCTTTTTAGATAAGGTCAAAATTAAGTTTGCCCTATGAATTTTACTTGTTTTATCTTTTGTTTCGTGTATATATTGTTTGCCTTTTTCATAAAATAATTCTTGATTTGTTATATATTGTTCTGTTATTTTTGACATCTTTGCTATCGTTGTAAATAAATTACTATTTTGTTTTAAGTTACCCTAGTGGAGTGTTGGCTATAGACAGGACACACACACACTCACCACATCCATGTGGAAATGAGGAGACTCAGATCACACAGTTAATAAATCCTTGTTACAAAGTAGAAGTGGTGCAAGCCCTTCAGTAGTTAGCACTTCTTGCACCAAGGTAACCATTGTGGTTGCATATCAGGCATGGTATCTGTCCCTACTTGAGTTTTTAAATTATTTCCTGACCTCCAAGGTGGAAATATTTTGACAATCAAATTTGAGGTCAAAATCAAGAATTGTTTTTCTTTACTTGGTTTCTCCCCATTCCATTGCCTCCCATGTTACTTGTCTTGCTGACATTGATGAACACAGCTACATAAAGCCACTAGGATGCTTTGCTTCTGAAAACCTGCTTAGGAATTTTAGATAACATTTAGCTGTGAATTACGGAAATATCTAAGCACATTAGCCAATATTATACAATAGTTAACTAGACCTGTATTATTTTGCTTTCCAAGAGATTGATTTTTGAATGTCCATGCTTGTAATTGACTTTAAATGCAGAACCCATTTCCTTTTGCTTGAGATTCTTTGAAACAAGGGGAAATATTGCAAAGTTATCTGTTGAGGTTTTGGAAGTTTTAATGTCTGTCCTCCTCTCTGGGTTCTAACTATATTGAAAATAGACATAAGAAACCACCAGTTGAATGTGTGACTTTTGCTAGTAAAGCTGAATTGGGAGCCCCAGAGTGTCTACCTCCAATTTATTTCCCCTCAGTGTAGGCCTTGACTGATAGCAGCCAGTCAATTGAAGGAAGTGATTCTACCGTCCACTCCTCCATGAGCTTAAGAGACTGGTTTGGTCTCTTAACAGAGAAATGGAGCATCCTTCACAACTATCCCAGGATGTGACACAGGAAGAGGTGGAAAAAGAGTTCCTTCCCTTATGCCATACTAATAAAGGTTAGTTCAATTCTAGGTTGCCCTCTATTATTAGAACAGTAGCAAAATTTGAGGTTCTCCCCTGCTTTAGCCTTTTTTAATTGTGTCCATTTACCCCCTATTGATTTTACCACTCTTTCTTAAAGTGGTAGTTGTAACAGATTTTCAAAGGTTTAGTTGCTATTTCCCCCAAGGCAGCACACTTTGGTTGGTCTTCAGAAAAAAAATTTTTTTTGAAGGGGCAAATATACAGCTATACAAAGATGAAGGCTTGTAAGTTATTTTTATTGCATGCTTTTGTTACAAAAGTTGGGGGGGGAAAAGAGATCTTTCACAATGCCACCTTCTTTATTCAAGAAATTGTTCTTTTTCAATCTTAGTCCATACACTTAAGTCTTTTATCCGATTTGTAACCTCAGCATTGATTCCATTCTGTGTTTGACGATTTTCTTTTCAACATGAAGCGTATTACCAAATCTATTGGTTGCCTTTAAACATTTCTTTGAAACACATTCTTTTGGGGAGAATATGGAAAATTCAGAAGGATACAAAGAAGAAAGTAAAATACTTTCCCCCTTAATCCCATTACCTGGAACATTACTAGCCTTTAAAAAATGTCTTAACTGAGTTTTAAATTTTTACTTATTTATTTTTGGTACTGGGGATTGAACCTAGGTGTGCTTTTGCCACTGAGCTACCTCTTTTTATTATTTTGAGAACAGGGTCTTGCTAAGTTGCTAAAGCTGGCCTCAAACTTGTGATCTTCCTGCCTCAGCATCCTGAGTTGCTGGAATTATAAGCATGCACCACTACACCCAGTGAGTTTTAATTTTATTAGATTTTTTAATTGCGGAATATGTGTTATTAGAACAAATGTTATACAGTACAAAATAGGTATAAAGAAAAACTTAATTATTTCACCCCCATACTTCCTCCAAGCTTATTTTCTTGAAGTAATCATAGTTAACAGACTTGTATCTTCCCTTCATGCTCATACAAACCTGTACAAAGAGACACCCCAAGAAAGGTTGAATGATTTTAACCTTTTGGTTAAAGCGTTTGGGTCTGATGCCTCTTTGTAAAGATGAGATTATTCATCTTTACAAGTCAATATGTTCATTCCTCTGGGTCAGTAGGCCAAACTCAATCTCATTCTCTTCAGTAAGGGAATATAAATTCAATATAGATTGAACCTACCATAATTCAGCCAACCAGTACTCCTTTGGTGTACATTTAGGTAGTTTTCAGTTTTCTGCCACTACAAGAAGGCAGGGAGTGACTATCCTTGTACATACAATCCTTGTGTATTTGTGCTTTGATTTCTATAGAATGGATTCTGTCAGGATGTGATTACCAAATGAAAGGTCAAGTACTATTTTAAAAATGTTATTAGATGTTACCAAATTATTTTCTGCTAAATGTTAACTCCAGGAATGCAGAGATTTGTGTCTGTTCTTTTTGTTGCTGTTCACCTAGAATAGAGATATGTGCTGAAGATAAATTTCTAGGATAAAGTCAATTCACACTCCTCCAGACATATATAGGAGGATCCATTCCTCTTGGCCTTACAGTGGGTATTACAGCCAATTTCACAGGTTAAACAATGTATTGTCATTGAATTTGCTTTGACTGGACTTTGAGTACAGTTTAATACTTTTATATATCTGATAGCCCTTTGTGTTGTCTCTGAGAAATTGCCCGTTCAAATCCTGTACTCCATTTTCTATTTGGAATCTTTTGTAAGGCCTTTCTAATATATTTGCTGCACATTTTTATAGTCTGATTTATCTTGTTACTGTTTATACAATCTTTTGATATATAAAATCTTTAATATTGGTATGTTCAAATATGTTTATATTTTTCCTTTATAACTCTTGTCCTGCTTAAAAAGATCGTCTCTACCCCAAGATTCTACAAATGTGTGCCTAGTTTTTCTTCTGATATTTTTATTATTTTAATTTTGTTTGGATTTTTATACAATTAAATTTTTTTGGTATATGATGTTTGGTAAGGGGTCTCATTTCTCTTTTCTCTTGGATGGAGAACCACTTATTATAATGCTATTTATGAAGTAAGTCATCCTTTACCCCCATGAGCTGAAATGACACTTTATGTATATCCTTGGATTTATTTCTGACATATATTTTATCTTGCCGACTTATTTGTTGTTATTCTGCTGATGCCATACTGTTTTACAGTACTCTATGGTGAATTTTAATATCAAAAAGCACATCCATCCTCAGTTATATTCTTTTTCATAGTTTTCTTTACATTTAGTCTTTAATAAGAACATTAAAATCATTTTACCCAGTTTCCCTTAGAAGACTCACTGGGATTTTTAAATTGAAATTGCATGAATTTTTAATATGAAATTGAGCTTGAC